CCGGGAATCAACCCCAGCTCTTTTGCTTGCGAGGCGAGTGCTCTAACCACTGAGCTACAGGACTCGCCTATCCTCCGCAAGTGCTTCGAGATGCCATCCGGGGTGAAGGGCGCTATATAAATGCAAGTTGTTGTGTTGTTTATTTTCATCCCTTGTCTGGCACCTCCCTGGTAGAGGTGGGTATCAGGCAAGATTGAGAGACCCTTTATTCTGGGTCAGTTCGGTGTGTTTGGTTGCAACGATTTTGGTGTCAGTGAAATAAATACACATCTAGAAATGTAAACCCGCCCCGAAAATAACCAGAACAGGTGTCACATCATATTACAAGACAGATACAGTTACCAACCATGTGTGAGACATTTCTCCTGAGAATGCAGCGCATCCCAAATGAAAACTGAATGGCAGTGAGTGAGGGAGTGAGTGAGTGAGTGAGTGAGGGAGGGGGGAGTGAGTGAGGGGGGGAGTGAGTGAGCGAGTGAGGGTGGGTGTGAGGGAGTGAGTGAGGGAGGGGGTGAGTGAGTGAGTGAGTGAGGGGGTGAGTGAGTGAGGGGGTGAGGGAGTGAGTGAGGGAGGGGGTGAGTGAGTGAGGGGGGGGTGAGGAGGTGAGGGGGGAGGAGGTGAGGGGGTGAGGAGATGAGGGGGTGAGGGGGAGGAGGTGAGGGGTGAGGGAGGGGGTGAGGGGTTGAGGAGGTGAGGTGAGGGGGTGAGTTGAGGGGGTGAGTGAGGCGGTGAGGGAGTGGTGAGGGGGTGAGGGAGGGGTGAGGGGGTGAGGGAAGGGGTGAGAGGGTGAGGGAGGGGGTGAGTGAGGGGGTGAGGGGGTGAGGGAGGAGGTGAGGAGGGAGGGGGTGAGGTGAGGGGGTGAGGTGGTGAGGGAGGGGGTGAGGGGGTGAGGGAGGAGGTGAGGGGGTGAGGAGGTGAGGGGGTGAGGGGGTGAGGAGGTGAGGTGGTGAGGGGGTGAGGAGGTGAGGGAGGGGTGAGGGGAGGGGTGAGGGAGGGGGTGAGTGAGGGGTGAGGGAGGGTGTGAGGGAGTGAGTGAGGGGGTGAGGTGAGGTGAGGAGGTGAGGGGGTGAGGTGAGGGGGTGAGGTGGTGAGGGAGGGAGTGGTGAGGGGGTGAGGGAGGGGTGAGGGGGTGAGGGAAGGGGTGAGAGGGTGAGGGAGGGGGTGAGTGAGGGGGTGAGGGAGGAGGTGAGGAGGGAGGGGGTGAGGTGAGGGGGTGAGGTGGTGAGGGGGTGAGGGAGGAGGTGAGGGGGTGAGGAGGTGAGGTGGTGAGGTGGTGAGGGGGTGAGGTGGTGAGGGAGGGGTGAGGGGGTGAGGGAGGAGGTGAGGGGGTGAGGTGGTGAGGGAGGGGGTGAGGGGGTGAGGGAGGAGGTGAGGGGGTGAGGGGTGAGGTGAGGAGGTGAGGAGGTGAGGGAGGGGGTGAGGTGAGGAGGTGAGGGAGGGGTGAGGGAGGGGGTGAGGGGGTGCGGGAGGGGGTGAGGGGGTGAGGGAGGGGTGAGGGGGTGAGGTGGTGAGGGGGTGAGGGGGTGAGGTGGTGAGGGGGTGAGGTGAGGAGGTGAGGGAGGGGTGAGGGAGGGGGTGAGGAGGTGAGGGAGGGGGTGAGGGGGTGAGGGAGGGGGTGAGGGGGTGAGGGAGGGGGTGAGGGGGTGAGGGGGTGAGGGGGTGAGGAGGTGAGGAGGTGAGGGAGGGGGTGAGGGGGTGAGGAGGTGCTTTGCTCAGTGTTGTCAGTGAGAGTTGTGGAGTGGAGCTGTGGTGTGTGTGTGTGTTCGCTGTCGGTCTCCGGCCGCTGTGTTTGGCTGATGTGAGTGGACTAAGCGGACCGGAGACGCGCCCTATCGATGCTCAGCAGCTGATGTGAAAGGCTCTGTGCGGCAAAGCGACAGACGGGAAGGAATTCAGCCGCGATAGCGAGAGGGGGGCGTTGTTCTATCTCCGATGCAGCCCCGGGGAGGGAGGCGGGGGGCGGGGGGCGAGGGAGGAGGGCACCGGCTGTGCTGCTGCTGCTGCTTCTTGTTGGAGTCGATGAGACTCTCAGCTCTCGCCCTGACGTCCAGTCGGCTGCTGTCCCTCGGCTGCCGGACCGTGTCCCCGCCCGGAGCTCGGGCCGGAGCTCGGGATGGAGCTCGGGATGGAGCGGGATCCGGAGCCCCGACCGCCCTCTCCTTCGACAAACCCAAGGCAATGCGCGCTTCGCACGACGCTGCGCCCGGACTCTGCGTCAAAGCCGTCTGTGCCACATGGTCAGGTTTCCTTTCGCACAGGAGGCTCCGGGCTTCAGGGGTGGGGGGTGGGGGGGGGTGTCTGTGATCGAGGGTCTGTGTGTGCACTTGTCACTGGTTCCAGCGCTGTGGGACGTCTTTCCGACCTGAAAGGCTCTTAATGCAAATGCAATTTGTTGTTGTTGTTGTTGTTGTTGTTGACTCAGTGCTTTTCTGTTGGCTGCCTGTGTGCTCCTGCTGTTGGGCTGCTCAAGGCGCGTTGGTTTTTAAAGAGCAAGACGCGGGCTTGTGTTTCCTATTTCCTTGGCCTCACGTTGCATCTCCCTTGCAGTAATGCAGCAGGTACCAAACACCGAGCGTCATTTTTTTGTATGATTAGCTTGCACTTGGCCTGATCTCTGGCGGGCAGACGGATTTCCCACCTGGAGATCCGTCAACAGTAATGTGGTCGAACGCTGATCCTCACAACGAAATCCGCTGAAAGTCTTCAAAAGTAAAAGGATCAGTTATTGATCTGCAAAATGTCAGACAGTATCTCCTGAAATTCTGGGCACGGACAGAGACAGCAGAACAAGAGGGCATAGGTTTAGAATTAGGCTACGAAAGGCAATTTCAGACCGGACACCAGGAAGCATTTACAAAACAACGCAAAATCTTGCAGATGCTGGAAATCAGAAACAAAAACAGAAATCGCTGGGAACACTCAGCAGGTCAGGCAGCATCTATGGAAAAAAGGAAAGCGAGTCAACGTTTTGGGTCCACGACCCTTCGTCGAAATTCCAAGAAGTATTTCTTATCTCAGTATTTAATAATAATAATAATCCTTGCATTTGATATAGCGCTTTTCACATCGGGAGGACGTCCCAAAGCGCTTCACAGAACACACTGTAAAGTGAATTGACTGTATATTTGTGGGCGAACGCGGCAGCCAATTGCGCACAGCAATGTCCCACAAACAGTTGTAGATTGAAGATGACCAATTTATTATTGTTTTTGGTTTTGGAGGGATTATTATTAGACGTGTGGAGTAAGGAAACTTGCCCAAGGTTTCGCCCTGCCTGGAATTGAACTCAGGTCTCTCGCTTGCAAAGCGAGTGCTCTAAACACTGAGCTACAGGACTCCAAATTTCAATGTGCTGCATTGTTGTAGGTGTGCTCTAACGTGGGAGTTACTGTCCTTCAGTTGAGAATTTAACACTGAAGTCCAGCCTGCCTCTTCAGGCGCTGTTAAAGATCCTATGGCACTAATCAAAAAGAGAAGAGAGTTTCTCGCCATCGATCTCTATCCCCCCCCCCCCGGCAGCTCCCCAAATCAAATTCGTCATTCACTCATGGCTGTTTGCTAGAAACTACTCAAAGTGGCTGTCACTTCACACACAAAGTACACAGCCATTCCACTTAACAGTATGTCCTGTGAAGTCCTTCTCCAGATGTGAAAAGCGCTATACCAAATGTAAGGATTATTTTATTACCAGGAAGGGTGGCTGAGACCAGTACGCTGGGCTCATTTAAAAAGCAACAGCTGCTTGATGCTGTGATGGGTGGATAGTAGGGTCGGTGTTCTGGGAGGATGAGAGTAGATGGGCCAAAGCACCTTTCTCATCTGTATTCTTGTAATCTTGTGACCTCTTAGTGAAAATGTTCAGTTTCATTCAGATGGTTGCACCCTTGTTTCTGGCTCAAGGCCCAGATCAAAACCACACCTCATTAATTTAAGTTCATTACCTAGGAGTGCTACATTGTTGAAGGTCCCTTCCTTCAGGGGAAGCGTTAAAACAAAGCTCCTTTCAGGAGTGTAAAAAGCAGGGATTTAGTTGTCCTAGTTAGTTCTTCTGGTGTGCTATCCAATACTTCATCCATAAATCCCTTCATATATCTCTTTATCTGCTCGCTGTTTGTGAAATGTTTCTGAGTAGATTAGCTGCTGTGTTTGCTTAAATTGTCAGTCTGCTTTAAAAGTAACTCATGAGGTGAAGATTATTTGAGATTATGTGCAATAACAAATGTAAATATTTCATTATTATTATTATTACTACAGCATCCACATTTTGACCCCTAAGAATTAAGAACAATTAAGTAACAAGGTTGAGCGCAGCTGAAATTCTAACGTTAAAAGACTGGCAATTCAGTTAGAAGCTTCAGAAATATTATTTTTAACAATCTACAGTAGTTATGTTGTTTCAGTCAGAAAACCTGTAGTTGATGCAGACACTGCTTGAATTGGCAGCGTCTTTGTGACTATGTCTGTGTGTGTGTGGAGGGGGTGGGGGGTTGCAAGAGCCAGAAGATCCTTTTTTGTCTCATAAATCCCACTTACACAGAAATGGCATAAAGATTAATTTTGTCATTATTTTTTCCATTGTGCTATGTGTTTGGTAACAGATAAAGAAAGGTGTGTTAAACAGTTCTAAAGATACTGAAGGCTTATGAAATATAAGTGTCTCCTGTTATTTTTCTTTCTAATCCCTGCATCCTTTATACAAGATCCCCGCATTTTTCTGCTCTGGCTGAAATACCTTCTGCTGAATTGTTCAAACGTGTGTTTTTGTAGCTTAACCTCAAAGGCAGTATTACAAGTATGGTATGGTTTCATCTGGAAATTTTGTAGCGCACAATTCCTTCGAAGTCCATGGGGATGACTGTTCAGTACATTTTAATTGTGCACAGAGAGGGCACTTGAATCAGAAGTCAAGTTTCACAGGTCAAAGGACAGTTTTCAAACTCGATAAGCCATCGAATGTACCAGATTCCGTTTTTCACTAGATCACAAGCCTTTAGGCCCTCTGTCATTGCTTTCATAAATAATTTGACTAATATAGATCTTATACCTCTGAGATCTTATAGGGGTATGTAACATTTTAAATGGGATGGAAAAAAACAATACTTAGGATGCACCAATACAGTAGAGGAAAAGGCCATAGGCTTAGAATTGCAAAGGGCTACTTCAGGACAGAAACAAGAAAGTTTTTCTTAACCAGGATGATAATTAACAACTTGAACAACAGGATGCAGGGACGGGTGGTTGAGAGCAGGACACTCATTGATGCGGTGATAAGAAAACTGGTAGGTTAGGTGTTCTGGAAAGATGGAAGACAAATCCTTCGAAGAATGAGGTCAAATGGGTAGAAGGACCTTCTTCATACAAATCAATAGGATTTCTATTTTTTTTACAGGTGGAACTTCATATCCATCTGGATGGAGCCATAAGACCTAAAACAATTCTTGAGGTTGCTAAGTAAGTGATTTACCATTCAGTGTTCTCATTTGTATATTTCAGCATATGCAAAATAAATAGTGTAACATTGTCACTGGAACTCTCTGAATTCTCGAAACACCAAGAAACACCAATAAATACAGTAATTTATGCTTGCAAAATACATGGTTATTACATGTTGTGAATCACTTTGAGATGTCCTGATGTGAAAGGTGCTTTATCAAATGTAAGAATTATTATGTATTATTAACAGCAAGGGTTGTATTTATTGGAGAGGAGAAGGATAGGAATATAAGTGTTCAGTGTTTTGAAAGGTGTTAAAAGAATCAACCAGAGAAAGATTATTTGTAATGGTTGTCAAATTGGCAACAAGAGAGTGTAATCTTGAGATTATTGCTATTGAAAATTGCTTCTACAAAGGATTATTAAGGTGCTGAACATGCCACCACAAGTGGTGATTGAAGCTGAGTCAATGCTGACACATCAGGATGGTCTGTAGTAATAGAATACCTCCAGTAATCAGAAGCAGATCCACTGGGTGGGGGTTTGGAGCTGACCTGACCTGTGTTTATTACAAAAGTGAAATGTTAAAAAAGCATTACAAAAATGTTAAGAAATTTTAAAATTGTTAAAAAAAGACAAGAGCGAAATGTTAAAATGATAACAATGTCAAGTCTAAAAACTTTAAGAATTATATAAACATATACACAAAGTATTCTCTGAATGTGTTCACAGCAGATTCACATTGAGGGGGAAAATAGCCTACATAGGTGTTGTCTGATAAATTCTAATAAACTCTAATTAATAATAATAAATAATCCTTAAATTTGACATAGCACCTTATCACGTTGTTGAGACATCTCAATGCGCCTCACAGGATTTTACTGTGAAGTGTAGTGATTGTGTATTTCTACAACAACAAACAACAACAGCTTGGATTTATATAGCGCCCTCCACGCCGGACGGCGTCTCAGAGCGCTAGATGTATGCAACAATCAATTTGCAGACAGTAACATTCCACGAATAGCCATGGTGAAAGACTGATTTTATTTGAGCGGCTGTTGGGTAGACCACTGGGAGAAACTCCATTCAGTAAATCCTGTGAAGCACTTCAAGACATTCTCCTGACACGAAAGGTGCAATATCAAATGTCAGGATTATTTCTTATTATTAATTCGAGTTTAGCCCAAAGATTTCCAATCCTCTGTTGCTATTTGTGAGCATGACAAAAAGCCTGTCAGGTTTTATTCCTGGATGCTGGTCTAACTGGAATCAAGTTAGGCTTCTTTCACAAAGTCCGTTTTCATTGATTGAAAACAATCCCCACCAAATGCAGGAATCAGAGATGGTAGCACCCAGGGCTTTCCAACTCATAGTGGGCACTACCATTATTCAGATATCCAGGGACATTGATATTTCATAGAGAATCATTTAATGATTTTTCTTTATTTTAAGGAGAAGAAAAATCAAGCTGCCGACAAAGAATGACAATCAGTTTCTCAAACTTATAACTTGCGATGGGCCAACAACTCTCACTGAAATGCTAACAAAGTTTGGTTATTTTATGCCTATTGTTGCGTAAGTACATTGCTCTCAGACTTTACTATGATTTGCCCTCCACCCCTGTCACTGATCCTTTGTCATATAATGAAATTAATAGTTATAAACGAATATCTCGCCCCAACAGGAGTCCCTTTTCAATGATTGACCGAAATATCATCCTTGTGATGGTATTTTGATGTAAGTTGCTATTTAGCTTAATATATAACAATATGTTTGGTGTAAAATCCATGACAAAGCCCATTGCCAAATCATTAGGCTTGGATTTTATTCAAGGATCTTTCAGGTGAATATTTGTATGTTACTTGGAACGTGATAAATGTAGGACGGTATTAGAGTTTAGTGTTCTGCCACTCTGGTCAAAATATGGGTTTCCTTTACAGTAAATACTGTGAGGGGCTTTGAGATGTACTCCTGACATGAAAAGTGTTATATCAAATGCAAAGATTATTATGAATAATAATATTTTTTTTGATCCTTACAGAGGTGACAGAGATGCTATCAGGCAAATAGCCTATGAACTTGTGGAGGATAAAGCTAATGAAAAAATTGTATACTTTGAAGCTAGATACAGTCCTCATTTACTGGCTAACTGTGATGTTTACCCTATTCCATGGAAGCAATCAGAGTAAGTTGAAGACCTACATTCACAACTTAACTGTTGAACCATTGAAATGTCTGACACACATAAGAGGAAATTTTGACCCATTATTTTGTGTAAGTTTGCTCCTCTAAGAATCTATCCATCCTGATCCTCATTCCCTGCTCTTTTCTGTCACCTCTTGTACCATTTACTACAGTAGCCAGTATCTTCTAATCAGGAATCAATGTGATTGTTCCATTAAGTGCTGGTTAATACTTTTATACTTTCTAAATAGTGTAAAAAAAAAGGTGGCGTTTTTACGTTACAACATGGGAAGAAAGTGCAACCCAATTACTAGTTTGTTGTAGCCACATGGATTATTTTAACACATTTGTTAAAATTTGGCATATGAGTGAACTAAATAAAACGTCTTGCATTGTACACTTGAAGTAAAATTTGAAGTAAAAAGTAAAGCTAAGGTTTACCCAATTCAATTTGGTAACAAATTGTAGTAACATAGGAATAAGAGTGAGCCATTCTTCTCATTCAACCTTGTTTGCCATTTTATTATTATAGCAGATATTTTAATTCTGTTTCCTGGCCTTTTATCTAGGACCCTTAATCCATATTCCTCAGTTACAGTGGAGTCTTGTTATAATGCGGTTGTTAGGATCTAAGTTCCCACCCTTGTGAGGCATAATAGCTGGACATGTCCACAGTTGGCTGTCACAGTCACAGTCCTGGTGCTAGTTCATATATGCTACATAATCTGCCATCTATTCCATATTTCGATGGCCCCGGAAATTGGCGGAACTTATTCCTTAAGTTCCTTTTTCAATCACATCTTTTAGTTAGTTTAATCTTGTCACAACTCTCCCTGAATCACTTGCCCTTCCCTCTCAGCTTTCAAAGCCAGTCTGAAGAACAATCTCTTTGACTGTGCTTTTGGCCGCCTTCCCTTCTGCCTCTCCAGGCTCCCTCCCTGCTGCAGCTATTGCACAGTCTTTGTAAAACGCTTCGAAACGTCCTCCCTGTGTGAAAGGCCCTGTAAAAGTTCAAATTGTTCTTCCAAACACTTTGAAAATCAGGCACTGTGTCTGCTTTATTTTTTGTCTTAATTAAAATATTTATTATTTGAATCATCTGTTATTTCAATATTTGCTGCATTTTTGCCCCCAAGAGGTGACCTAAGCCCAGATGAAGTGGTCCGTCTTGTTAATGAGGGTTTTGAAAAAGGCCAGCGTAACTTTGGCATCAAAGTACGATCAATTCTCAGCTGTTTGCGGCACATGGAAGGTAACTGTTTTAACAGTGATTTGTGGTACCAGGGATGGGGGACTTTAGTTATGTGGAGAGACTAGAGAAGCTGGGATTGTTCTCCTTAGAGCAGAGAAAGTTAAGGGGAGATTTAATAGAGGTGTTCAAAATTATGAGGTGTTTTGATAGAGTAGATAGAGAGAAACTGTTTCTACTAGCCAATGGGTCAGTAACCAGAGGACATAGATTGAATATAATTAGCAGAAGAACCGGAGGGGAGATGCAGAGATTTTTTTTTACACAGTTGTTACGGTCTGGAATGCACTGCTTAAAAGGGTGGTGGAAACAGATTGAAAAACAACTTTCAAAACGGAATTAGAAAGGTACTTGAAAAGGAAAAAAATTGCTGGGGTATGGGGAAAGAGTGGGGGAGTAGGACTGATTGGGTAACTCTTTCAAAAAGCTGGCAGAGGCATGATTTGGATAACTCTTTTCAAAGAGCCGGCACAGACACAATGGGCTGAATGGCCTCCTTCTGTGCTGTATAATGCTATGATTCTAGGATGGACTGAATGGCCTCCTTCTCTGCTGTAATATTCTATGATTCTATGATTGTGCTTTAATATCCTGAGTTTCATTTAGTGCAGTTCCAAGATCAGTTTGCTAGTATAGAAGCTCAAAACCTCACATTTCCACGCTTTTACTACCAGGTCTGATAAAATCAACAACTTGTTGATCAGTCAGTTAACTGAGTGAAGTGCTTTGAGACATCTTCCCAATGTGAAAAGATACTATATAAATGTGAATTGTTGTTGTTACTAACTTCTGAGAAATGTATAATAATTCTTGCATTTGACATAACGCTTTTCATGTCAGGAAGATGTCTCAAAGCATGTATTTTTTTTGTGTGGGCAAACCCAGCAGCTAATTTTCACACTTCAATCTCCTATAAACAACCAAAGCTATCTAAACAATTTTATTTGGGAAATTAATTCTCATTTTGAATAGTGCCTTGGGATCTTCATCATCCACCTGAACAGACAGGCAGACGGGACCGCAGTTTACTGTTTCATCCGAAGGACAGCACCTCCAACAACACAGCCCTCACCCAGCACTGCACTGGAGCATTGGCCGAGGAAATATGAGTTCCAATTCTTGATGTGGGGATTGATCCACAATATATCCAGAACATGAGGGTCTTTTTATTCCATTTCCCTGTGGGTGTTTTTTATGAGCTGTAGAAAAATGGCTTCCAAATTTAGACTGAATTTAAGAAGTGTTTTTTTTAGTTCTGTATCATCTTACGTTTTAAGATGAAATGGCTTCAATGGCTGAGAGCAGGTGGACTTTCTGTGTGTTATATGAAAGTTGACTTTTCCTCTCTACATCAACAGCGTGGTCTCCTGAAGTTGTTGAGCTCTGTAAGAAATATCGAAAGGATGGTGTGGTTGGCCTTGACCTAGCAGGGGATGAATCGATAAACTATGAACCCTCTCGAGGACACGTACAGACGTATCAGGTTGGATCCCAACGTGTAATCTGCATTAGAAAATTCTGAACAAAACTTTCAATTCTTTAACTGGTTTAATTAATTTTCTGCCGTTAAGTTGTTTCCCATTCTTCGGATGAGACATTAAACCGGGGTCTGTTCATGTAGACCCAGGGCATCTTTTGAAAAGAGAAGGGAGTTTGACAGTGAAAACCTCTATTCCCCTGTTTTGGTGCAATCCCACCCTTTGTTTTGCATCATTGAAACCTCATTAACCCATCATCCCCTGTCCTCTTCCCTATTTTCTTCTTTGTCTTCCTTGCACTGCCTCCCCACTTTCTGTTAGCCCTTAAAAGCTCTCCCTCCCAACATGCCCCAGTTCTGAAGAAGGGTCGTGGACCCGAAACCTTAATTCACTTTCCTTTCTCCATAGTTGCTGCCTGACCTGTTGAGTGTTCCTTGTGACTTCTGTTTTTGATACTGTAAAGTGAATTGACCGTATATTTTGTGGTTGGAAATGAAGGCTCTGAAGCTCCAATAGTAACTGTACTCCTAGCCACAATTCCTTTACTAGGCAATTGGTTGGCAGAAGCCAAGGCATTAGGTATCTCACAGCTCCTATTGGAGTATTGCAAAAATTCAACCAACTAAATGTTCTGTTGTTTTATCCTGGAGATATTGGAAATAGATTAACAATGCACACTAGGAAATGGAATGCTACAAGGCTTTCATGTCCTCCCAACGTGAAAGGAGCTATACAAATGTAATTTTGTTGTTGTGGTTTTCTCAATTTTCCTTGATTACTTCCAGGAGGCGGTGAGGTGCGGAATCCATCGCACTGTTCATGCGGGAGAGGTCGGACCTCCTGAAGTGGTTCGTGAGGTAAGAATGTGAATAATTCTTACATTTAATTCATCACCTTATCATGTTGTCTAAATATCTCAAAGTACTTTATTGTAAAGTGTGGTGAAGGTGGCAGCCAATTCGCACACAGCAAAGTCCCCAAAAAGTCATGAAGTGAATGATTAATTTTATCGGGGGGATTGTCAGCCAGCACACTGGCTCTTTTGAGCCTTCTCTTTTGAATAGTACCATGGGATCTTTAATGAACAGGGAGATGGGATCTTGGTTTAACGTCTCAGAAGAAGCACCTCTGACAATGCAGCACTCCCTCAGGACCTCATTGGAGTGCTGGCCTAGACTGTGAGCTCAAAGTCCCAACTTGGGGCTTGAACCCACAAACTTCTGATTCAGAGGCAAGAGTGCTACCGACTGCCCTTTTACTCCTGACTCACTGAACAGTTGAAAGTGCTGTTGTGAAACGAAAGTGAAGTTATGTGAATGCAGTAAATGTAGATTATTCCTGGTACCAGTGGTGAATTGTGAAGCAGCCGATTGAAAACAGGAAAATTTGCGATCCAGAAAATATCACTGGAACACTGGAAGAAGAAGGGAGTTTCAGAGGTTGAATCAATTGATTTTAAAAGATACTTTTGTTACAACACCAATAAAATGGCTGCAGTTCTTTTGAAAGTCGCCTCATTCCTTTCTATTGTGCAAAAATCCACAAGGGCTACAGGCACACAAACTAAGTTTCCCAAATATCTCTGTGGACTCAGAATGTTGCCTCTTAATGTTTTCTAACTGTAAACTTATTAAAGGATAACTTGCTCCTCCGTGTGAATTTATTGCTGTTATAGGCTGTGGAGATTTTGAAGGCTGAAAGAATTGGTCATGGATATTCAATTATTAAAGACGCCAAACTCTATCAAGAAATACTGCAAAAGGATATCCACCTGGAGGTAGATATGGGTCTGACGGACACAACTGGCGATATATGTGACAGGTTCTATCTGATATGCTGTTTTAAAATTTCTGTTTTTTTATTTATTTTTTAAGGCATGCCTTTACTCAAGTTATATCACAGGAGCGTGTAAGGCTGATTTTTCAAAGCATCCAGTTGTCAGGTATGTACTTTTTTCATTCAGTGTAATGAACACTTTGAAAAGTCTGTCCACATTTCTTAAGTATTTCAAGTGCATAATTTCCCCCACTTCAAAGTGCATTAAAACAATAAATAATATTTTTTGGATTTGGTACAGTGCCTTTCACACCTGAAGGATGCCTCAAAGAGCTTAGTGGGATTTACTGTAGTGTGGTGACTGTATTTTGTAGGCAAATTTTGCAGCGAATTTGTGTACAGTGGTGTTCCACAAAGTGAATGACCAATTTTTATTTAAGAATTCCTGGCTGGGCTACCAGAAGAAACTCAATTCTCTTTTTCAAATAGCGCCTTAGGATTTTTAACATCCACCTGAACAGGCAGACAATACTTTGCTTTAACATCTCATCCGATATGAATACTTCACAATTTGCACTCAATTGTACTTTGGGTTTATTGTGTTTTATGAATGAACTTTTAGTGAAAACGTATCACTTTTACAAGGAGCTCTTTTCTAACCCTCTATCTGCAAACAGTTTATAGCAGAGTCTAAAGCTACCATGGCTTCAGTTGGTTTCTATAAAATTTATTTTTTGATACCCTTCCCATTTATGTGGTTGAACCCTATTTTTATGAAATAGTGCAATCAACGTCTAGTGGTTTATAAGTGAGTTCATTTTCTGGCAGCCTTCAATATAAAGCAAAGCTCATTCAAAAAAAATGTTTTATACATTTTACAGATTCATGAATGATGGTGCTAACTTTTCACTGAGTACAGATGATCCACTGATATTCAATTCAACGATTCACACTGAATATAATATGGCTGCGAAAGACATGAACTTCACAGAAATGCAGTTCATGAGAATGGTATGTGGAAGGAATGTGTCTCTTTGTCTGCTATTAACTCTTAATATATTCTGTGCTGAGGTTAGATCAGCACCTCCAGCCAGGACACTATCTTACAACCAGTTTGTACAATATCATACCAATGACTACTCTTAACTTTAAGCAGTGCTGACGAGAAGAGTGGAAGGCTCAGAGACTGTTTGACACGGTTATTTGTGTCAAAGATTTTATAGTGGTTGGTGACCACCAAATGTCACTCTTTATGTCACTCTTAAACACCATTTTTGCTAGTAGTTGGATGTTTGAAGATAATTGGGATGTTGAAAGTGGAGATGGGTGGGTGCATGGGTGGATGTGTGGGTGCATGCAGCAATATTGAGGAAACTTGGAAAAAGCATAATAAAAAATCTGCCATAATCTAATAAAATGGTGGAACAGGCTAGCCGGGCTGAATATCCTCCTCTTGCTCCTATGTACCCACCCATGTATCCACAGAATTTTTTTTTAAATAAAGATAAGGCCTTAGAAATAAGGCCTAAAGACAATGTCAGGTGTATCTTAAAGAAACTGTTGAATTTAATTGATCGTATTCTTAATTTGGTGTTTTGCTCATTGCTTCCTTAGTATTGAACTCACACTTTGATGTGGGGTTAGTTGTTTAAATCTGTTTGATGAAATAGAGCAAATTTGCAGTATTCTTCAGCAACAACAACAAAATTACATTTGTATAGTGTCTTTCACATTAGGAAGACGTGCCAAGGCGCTGGACAATCAGTGTTTTGGACCCGAGCTGGGGGTTGGGATCGGGGAGGGTGGAGGGCAGGCGGGGACGAAGGGTGACCGAAGGCACGGTCGAAGAGGAGGGACTTGAGACAGGTCTTGAAGAAGGCAAGGGAGGGGCTGAGGTGGAGGGACTGAGGGATGGAATTCCAGAGGGTGGGGGCAGAGTGGCAAAAGGCACGCCCGCCAATGGTGGGGGAGGTGAGGCAGGGGACGTGAAATAGGCCAGAGCCCGCTGAGCGGAGGGAGCGAGCAGCATGGTAGGGGATTAGGAGGTCAGAGAGGTAATGGGGAGCATGGCCGTGGAGGGCTTTGAAGGTGAGGACCAGGTTCTTGAACTGTATCCTCTGTGTGATAGGAAACCAGTGGAGTCGGGCGAGGATAGGGGTGATAGGGTCGCGGAGCCTGGTGCGGGAGAGGACACAGGCAGCAGAGTTCTGGATGATCTGCAGCCTATGAAGGGAGAAGTAAGGAGGCTGACAAACAGGGAGTTTGCGTTGTCATGCCTGGATGCCTGAATGTGTGTATGAGGGTCTCGGTGGTCTGCGGTGTGAAACAGTAGCAGAGCCGGGTAATGTTGCGGAGGTGGGGAAGCAGAGCGGATCATAATAATAATAATAATTATCCTTGCATTTGATCTAGCGCTTTTCATGTCGGGAGGACGTCCCAAAGCGCTTCACAGAACACACTGTAAAGTGAATTGACTGTATATTTGTGGGCGAATGCGGCAGCCAATTGCGCACAGCAATGTCCCACAAACAGTCGTAGATTGAAAATGACCAATTTATTATTGTTTTTGGTTTTGGAGGGATTATTATTAGGCTCTGTGTGGAGTAAGGAAACTTGCCCAAGGTTTCGCCCTGACCTGCCTGGAATTGAACTCAGGTCTCTCGCTTTCAAAGCGAGTGCTCTAACCACTGAGCTACAGGACTCATGGCATGGATGTGGGGTAGAAAGGATAGTTGAGGGTCAAACTGGACACCAAGATTCTGAACTGACATGTAAGTTACTTAAACGTCAATATTATCATTGGATTTTGTGTCAATATTCTAGTTGTCTGAGAAAAGCAGAATAAACTGTTAAATTTTAAGTTTTTGATGCTTTTTTTCAGAATCTTAATGCAGCTCGCTCCAGTTTCCTTTGTGAAAATAAAAAAAAAGAACTTCTCAATCAGCTTCGAAAGGCTTATGGAATGCCAGAAGAGCCCAAACTCGACACAAATCTGAATAATTATCCATGTTTGTAACAACCAATGAATCCCAGGCTTAAACTATTCTATGTTTTGACGAAACAAAGCTATTCATTACTATTGCTATATTTTTATATAATTCTTTATACATTTCAATATCTGAATATTTTAATAATCTCTTTTATGTTGATCAGTTCATCTCAGGAAGCTCTGGAAACAAAGTGTGATATGCAATTACATTAAATACTTTCACAAACAGACAATCGATGTACAGCTTAATGGGTGATGATGGCCCTTTAATATCAACACAGTCTTATTGTGTCAGTGGGTCTAATTTGCAGTACATGCAAAAGGAATTGTAAGAACATATCACGACTCTAGTTTGCGATTCCAAAAATTGACGTAGTCCAGTACCTGCAATGTATTTATTTGGTGATCTTGCTGTCGTCACGGCCTTGCTCCCTCCTACCTCTCCAACCTACTATCCCCCTACCTACCTGCCCGTACCCTCCGTTCCTCTGGCTCTGGTCTGCTCCACGTCCCCCGCCCCAACCGCCCTACCATCGGTGGTCGGGCCTTCAGCCTCTCAGCCCCCAGGCTCTGGAAATCCATCCCCCAGTGCCTTCGCCTTGCTTCCTCCCTTTCCTCCTTCAAGGCCGGTCTCAAAACCTTTCTCTTTGACCGTGCCTTCAGCTCCCCTCTCGACTCTCTTCCCCCTCCTCGCTCCTCCCTTCCCTCCCTCACCCTGACCATTTCCCCCCTCCTTGCTCCCTACCTTCCCTCCCCTCACCCTGACCATTTCCCCCTCCTCGCTTCCCCTCCCCTCACCCTGACCATTTCCCCCCCTCCCCCCTCCCTCCCCCTCCTCCCTCCCTCCTTCCCTCCCCTCACCCTGACCATTTCCCCCCTGCTCGGGTCATGACCCAACTGTGCAGCGCCTTGGGACGTCCTCCTGACGTGAAAGGCGCTTTATAAATGGAATCTTGTTGTTGTTGTTGTTGTTGTTGTTATTCACCTTGCCTACGCTTAAATTATACATTTATAAAACTCAAGTGTGACGACGCTGCCCCTGTGTGTTCATTTAAAGAAACCTTCACAAGATCATCACAAGGGAGGTTTGGACAAAGAAGGCCCTTAGGTCAGGTTCATCTAATTCTTCCAGAACATCCTCCCACACAGCCCAAAGCTGTTTCAGACTCCAGTGCCCTGGCCTTAACAGCCCTGAGTGACAGTGTAGCTCAGTTGGTAGCAATCTGGCCTCTGTTTTAGAAAATTGTTGCTTCATAATGATGTGTTGGGGACTTTGAGATCATAATTTAGGCTGACAGTCCAGTGTTGTGCAGGGGGAGTATTACATTGTCAGAGATGCTTTCCTTCGAATAAAACCAATCTGTTGAGACAAAATGTCTGTTCAGCTGGATGTTAAAGTTCCCATGGCACTATTTGCAAAGAGAAGGGAATTTCTCCTGGTGTCCTGCTCAGCAATCCTTCAGTTAAATTCCCACATCTCCCCCACCCCAAGCTTGGGCTATGGGCTAAAGGCCTGACGAGTTATGTGTATATATTGCTAGGGAGGAGATTGGGTGTCACAGAAAGGAAGAGCAAATTCTTTCACACTTACAAAGCACAAAGTGCAAATTTATTTCATGAAAATACACAGAAAATATCAAACACATATTGACCAACCGCAGTTCACTGCTATTTGAAATCACAATTTCTAGCCATCATTGTCCTCTTTGCCACATATATGTTGCCTTCTCATTACTTCTTTACATTGGCCTGATCTTGATTAAAAAATAAGTTTGAATTAAAAAAAGCACATCCACTTAAAAGACCTCTAGAAAATATTTTCCCTGTTTCCTGGCTGTCATTAGTGTAACAAAAATGTGTTTGGAATAGAAAAGTGGGGATTTCAAACTATGAAGAAACATTGGGATTATACTGTACAAACCATGTGCCCAAACTTTAACTGAGTAGAACTATATAATGTATCTGAACATTACATAAATGCAGTCGTATTGATGAACCAGTCTAATCTGAGAGGGCACCTATCTTAAGCTTGTTTCTTTCTCATTGAAGGCTGCTTGATCCAAAGGCACGCACTTTGCAATATATCCTATGAAGAGCTTTGGAACGTCCTTGTGATATGAAAGGTGCTGAACCAAATGCAATTTGTTTTAAGTATTAACAAAGGGGGCCAATATTCAACAGAGATAAATTGTCTCTGGTTTCAGACAAAATGCTTCTCTTAAAATGGACATATACAGTGGAATTCGCTTTTGACGGATGGCGCCCAGTTAACCCCAGACGTCAGGTAAATCGAACAAAACACCCGGCCTCAATTCATTTATAGTCTTACCTGTTTTAAATGTACCTGCTAATTCAGATGAAAATCTGGTTACTCTGGGCAAAATGCTGCGTTGGTTGCCGCTGGATGTACTCACTCAGGCCTTCTGTGGTATCCAGCGCCTTCATTCAACCATGAGGGACTCTGGGATAACAGATGGGAGGAGTCAAATTGCGATTGACAGTGGACTCCAGCCATTCACAAGTGGCTGGAGTTGGGCTGTCAATCAATGAGGGGGCGGAGGCACAGGGAAGAACAAGGGAGGGAATATCACAATTGATTCAAAGCTGAGTCGCTTGTGATTGGCTGGAGCTCATCCATTCACAAGCGTCTGCAGGCTGTCAATCACCTCAGGCCACCAATAATTGGTCCCCTTCCCGTCCAATGGGAATGGCAACGGGGGGGGGAGGGAGGGAGATCCTCAGCTGCTCAAGGAAGTCCTGGACTGTATTTGCAGCCAAACAAATATATTTGACTGAATTCTGAGTATTTTAACTTTAACCGGTTTGTTAACATTGCTTCAAGTGAAACAGCATTATTATATATTATTATATGGTGTTGGGGGTGGGAGGCCTCCTCTGCTGGGGGGGAATGGTATTTCAGCTAACCTCGGACACCTCTTAAGTCAGACAAAATGTCCAACCCCGATGCATCCGCCTTAACTGGCTTCCACTGTATATATTTTTACATTTACCGACAGTTCTGATCTTTCTATGGAAAATGGGACTTCGGAAGTGCCGGATGTTGAAAATGCCTGACAAACAGAAATGTGACTGAACGATATCGCTGTGCCTTGTGTCTGATCTGTTTCATCTTCTGTCAGTGCAACAACAGCTAACAAGCCTAACAGTAATATGCAGATATTATCGCGACAAATGCCTTGTTAAATTAGATCTAAAAACTACGGACTGACTGATATGCAAAGAAATACATTAAATGTATCAAAAGTTTCCGAAGCTCCAAAAGTGCATCCCTTGTTTCAAATCCTCAAACAAGTCTTCTTATCGCTAAGTCAGTCACAAAGGCCGTAGATATTTACACAATATGTGTCTGTACGTAGCTCAACAGAAATGATTGATTTTCACCCCTTCACTGATCCACCTGCTTAATTGTTCACAATTTGGTACAAAGTTTTGATTGCAGGTATTGTTTGTAGGATCCAATATACTGTAATAAGGGATTTGTTCTTCAAATACCCAGTAGAGGAAGTCTTCATTCATGCACAGAATGTGATGGAGCGGTTATAAACCTCTATTTATTAAGAAACACAGCAACACAAATCCAATTGTAGGATTAAGCTGTTCCTTACACTTTCAGCCGAAACCACATTGGCAGTGAAAGGGTTTTTCTTGTACATTCACATGCAGTGCTTTACATGACAGGAATACCACTGGACGTTCAACAACTGAATCAGTTATAACTAAAATATATGGGGCACTGAGAGGCTGCTTTAATGCAACCATTCTTCTCCCCACAATCTCTGGTATGGCCCGATTAAAAACAAACCTATTAAATATAAATAAAATAACTAGTTAAGAGTTATGCTGAATAAAGAGCAAGAAACCTCACAGAGCAAATTAACTACAAGACAAGACACAGGGACATGGGAGTGACAAGAGGCTGAGTTTTCCCAAACGCAATGCCTTGACATCTGAGTGTGAATCAAACAGAATTTGGACATTTTCGAGAATTCAATGGCAGTGAAAATTATTTTGGCGACACCATCTACTTAAAGTAACTCTTTACAAACAACTACCGCAAACACCAAGCAGGTCAGTTATATTACAGCTCCACAAAAGTTCTACCGTTCCCACTACATCTGACCAAAGACGCTCTCTAGTTTGTTGTGCCCAGGCAAAGAGTTGAATGCACATGAGCATCAATAAAGCCCTGTTTCTGGTCACTTCCAGAAAAACCCAACAAGTACCACAGCAGGTTTTCAGGCTGGAGGCCTTTGGTCATGACATCTACTGTACTCGGCGCATCATCAAATCTTTTTTTTTAAAAAACACGACAAGTTCCTCTGTCTGGACATTGACATTTATTGACACACTGTGAAGACTGAAACTAGAGCAGATACCTAATCTGTTCTATCCTCGTCCTAAAGCTAATTATGGGAATGCATCTAACCCATAAATCACATTTTCTTCAATAACTCAGCTCGGCAGATCTTCAACCATTGAGAAAGAGGGAGGTTGAGTCCATTATGTGCTTTGCTATATACTCAGTCCACAATGCAAAGAGTATGTCTACCAAGTGCCGGTTCTCTAAGGTACCCATTGTCCAAATGCTGAACTTTCCAGTGTCCACAACCTGTAATGCCATTTTCTGAACGTTGACTTTAGCAAATACGGAGATGCTGTTGAAATGACAGCCGTACGTTCAAGAGGCTCCAGACTGAAGATTAACTTTCTGTCTTTCCTTTTGCCTCCTGAGATTCAGGAGGTTGCTTTGTGGAAGTCTGTGTATCCTTTTCAGCATCCCCTTCACCTACTGAAAAGAAACATTTGAAAGTCATTATTCGCATGCAACTTGCTGACTTAGCCTTTCATCTTTTTGCATCATAATTGATGAAAGAACAGCCAGGTAAAGTGGTTTAACTGTCTTTCTGTCTTGATGTTAAATGGAATACAGCGAGCAAGTTCAGTCCAAACTCAGACACATCAAGAAGGCTGAAAAAGAGGATGCAGGATTGTGAAGAGCAACTTCGGGGCAGGCAACAGGAAGCATTTCCTTACACAGAAAGTGTTTAACAGGTGGAACAAGTTACCAGGAAGGGTGGGAGAAGCCTGTACACTTAACCTATTTGAAAAGCAGCTTGGTTCTATGATGGGAAGATAGTAGGATGGGTATTCTCAAAGGATTAGATCAAGTGGGCCGAAGGGCCTTCTTTATCTGAATCTTTCCGACACCCTGCTAACTTATTAATGAACATTCCATGCCCTTATCTCGGACATCGGCAAGTTAAAAACAATGACTGTTTAAACACCCTCACCTTTTTTATCAATATTCAGCTCTGCTAATTTAAGGGTTAAGTCGCTTGTGTTTACATTTGACGGAGTGCCCAGGATGTCATGCAGCGCATTCCTCCGTCCTGTCCGTCCTGAAGCGATGAAGTCTGCATACGAGGTTTCAACATCAGTCATTGCTGACAGGTTTCCACATAGCAGTATCTGGGGGAAGGGGAAAGACACACAGAACAAAGCTTAATGTTAGCTAAGCATTCCTACTTTTGGGATATTCATGAAAGACACGGGGAACTGAGGTTGTAAATTCTGTTGACCCAAGCACATCCTCTAATGTTGCTTATTACAAGTTGTTGTTGTAATCATATGTATTTATATTTTCATTTCTTTAGGCTGACACTCCAGTCCAGTACTGAAAAGAGCAGTGCATTGTCAGAGTTACTGTCCTTCAGATGAGACCTTAGACCAAGGTCCTCTCTGTGCCTGTTCAGCTGGACGTTAAAGATCCTGATACTATTCAAAAAGAGAAGGGAGTTTCTCCTGAGGTTCTTGTCAACAATCCCCCAGATAAAATTAGACATTCGCTTCATGGCTGTTTGTTGGCCACTGCTGTGTGCAAATTGGCTGTTAGGTTTGCCAACAAATTACAGTCACTTTACACTAAATTCTCTGAAGAGCTTGGAGGTGTCTCCTGATAATGTGAAAGGTGTGATATCAGACAAATAATAATAATAATAATAATAATAATCCTTGCATTTGGTATAGCTCCTCACCATATCCTTGAGATGTCTCAAAGTGCTTCATTGAATTTATTGTGAAATAGGAGTGACTTTGTGTATTTGTAGGCAAACCCGGCAGCACAATTGCACGCAACAATGTTTCACAACAGCCATGAAATGAATGATCAATTTTATTTGGGGTATTGTTGACCAGAACACCAGGAGAAACTCCCTTCTCTTTTTGAATAGTGTCATGAGATCTTTAACATCCACCTGAACAGGCACAGAAGAGACCTTGGTTTACCGTCTCATCCGAAAGCTTCCACTTTACCCATCCTCTCCTCAATGATGATGCTTGAGCAATCTGGCACATGTCCCGGTTAGTGGGACACTGGCAAGACCTAGTCAACAAAGACTCAAAGCGCAGGTAACCTCTTTGTGAGCTGTCGAATGCTCCAATCAGTGAGCCTTAAGTCTCTCATCAAATGATTTGGCGCAGAATGTCACTGTGACAGCTGTGCAGATGCATATCAGAGAGAGAGAAAGAGTAAACAAAATAACATAGCAGTGTATTGTGTTTAAAAATCATGCAAACGACACAAGCCCAAGCCTGTATTTAATGGTGAGAATCAACAGAAATGGTGCAGTAGTAGTTTACCACCACCAGAGGGGGTCATTCCTTTTCTATTGTTTGAAGGATTTCAGGATTATTTTATCCAGGAACCACTGTACAAACAATCCTCTGTGGGGAGGTCTAACAGGCACTGTGATCTTATCTGGACAAGCAGCGGGAAGCTTGCCAGACAGCGTTTTCAATGGCAAGCTGCGCATTTTATTTGTTTAAACTCCAATAGTTACCCCTAAACACATTCTGGATGTCCCAAAGTTCCAATCTGCACCTAATGCTTCCCGGAATATATAGTGTCCTCCGTGTAGGATAATGTCTCAGACGCAATGATCCGCATCTACAAATATCAGTGATAAAGGTTAACATTTCAGGGTGCCATCCGTTAACAGAGCTACATATTCCAAACCTGTCCTCAGCTGATCAAATCTACATACACGTTCTCATTAATTAAAATTATACCATTCACAGTTTTTTTTAAAAAAAATTCAAATCCTAAAAAGTTGGACCCATAAACTAGACGTCGATTGCCTCAGCTTCGGCAGAAGCTACAGACAGTCTTCTTTACAGAAGACAACATTGCCACTTCCATCATGTTAAACCCAGGATCTTTCTTTCTGAGACTTTCCCGTTTGGCCTGTGTTCATTAGGAAAGAGAGCAGAATATACAGCCTGCTCTCAAAACTGGCCAAGCTCAAGATCCCCAGCCTGTGATACCAGTCAGTATCAGTCTACCACAAGGTTGGCAACCTACCAAGTGGCCAAAGACCGGAACAATCCCACTTTCTGTCATTGTATGGTGCAGTGTCTTCTGTGGCCACCCTGCTCGAAGCTAGAGCTCCCATCACCTGTGATATTTCTCCTGAAAGAAGGTGTCTCAGGGGACCTTACAGAGGTGACTAAGATTCTAAATAGGATGGAGAAAATAAATCCAGAACAATAATTTGATACGCCAATGCAGCAGAACAAGACAGCTCAGGTTGTCAGTAATTTCAGTGTATACACCAGGAAGTATTTTTTTTACACTGGGGGCAATGGGTTATTGCGAAAGGTGGCAGAATCCGGTATATTGAGACTCATTTAAGAAACAACGTGATATTATATTGGGAAGATGGGTATTTTAAAAGGTTGAAAACAATAGGAAGAGGGACCTTTTTCATCCAATTCTCTTGTGATCCTGTGATTGTGAAAGGACCAGACAACAGTAAAAAGCTGCACTTGCACTTTGTGACCCAAGACATCACTACTCACACAGCACTATATAACGGCGGCTCTCCTTTTTAAGAGACAATCTGCGGAGAACAGGCAACACCATTTTATTAACCATTAGCAGGTTAATAAAAGCTTCTGAGGGAAATAAACTGTTTTCCTTACACTTTAAGAGTTTCTTGTGAGACATTTGTTAAAATAGATATACTGATTTGCCAATACATTTATTTTAAAAGTACGAGAATGAAAACTGAATTGAAATTGAATCAAGGAAATACAACTGGTCTGTTCCAAACATTTTGAAATCTTAATGGGTGATGTTCATATCTGACCACCAGAGGACACTGCGTGAGGGGAGAGTTTGGCAGTGATACAGGCAGTGAGGATGAAAGGTCATATACTGTACAGCAGTAGATTTTCATCGACTACAGCAATAGATTTAAATAAATTGACCAGCAATAGGTTTACATAGACAGTACAGCCCGGACACAAGCTATTTAGTCCAACCAGTCTGTGCTGGTGTTTCTGTTCCACGTTAGTCCTCAGTGTGTGTTGTGCGACCAATACTATTGCCAGCTTCATGACTGCGGGTTCACTTCCAGATAGGGTTGAGATGGAAAGCGTATCAAATCAGAAATGAAGGAAATGAGCACGGTTGTCAAATTCCCCCATTTCCACCAGAAATCCAAGCCACTGGCCTGGTTTAATCCCTGGTTTTGGAATTACAAAACTCAGTAATATAATAATAATAATAATCCTTGCATTTGATATAATGCTTTTCGTGTCTTCTAGACATCTCAAAGCGCTTCACAGAATAGACTATAAAGTGAATTGGCTGTATTCTTGTGGGCGAAATGTGGCAGCCAATTGCTTCCCATCTCCACATATTTCACTTATAACATTCCGGTGTTGGAAAGCTAGTCTTTGTTGCCATATTGTTGAGAATTTCATTAAAAAATACATATATTGAGAAATACCTTCTGACTCGCTCCCTTCCTCACCTCCTCGAGACCCAGCTGTACTCTTGGAAGTGCGCTTTTGGTCATCTTTCCTTCACCTCCATGCCCCCCCGCTCCCCTTCCCCACTCCCGGGTTTTCAATCCAGTTCGGGGCCAAGCCAGGATTGATAAGCACCTGGGGATGTCCTCGCGCTGTAAAGGTCACTGTAGAAATGTAAATTTGTATTGTATATAGGACTATCACTGGAGTGAAATGAACTTGTGTTGGGTACCTACTCCACACTGTGCACAGCTCTGCTCGTTCGGACTAGACCCTCCTCGTGAGTTTCTCCCTTCTCTCAGGTGGTCATGGTCTGAATGAGCCAGGAAGACAAAAAGAATGAGCTTCCATTTTTAAAAGTGCTTCATCACCTCGATATACAGTAAATCCCCAGCTTACCAGACTCTGGGGATCCGCAATTTAAATCTAGCCAGAGTGGGCCCCAAGACAGAAACGTTTAAAAATTGTCTGTGAGCCTGTGCGGATTTACAATTACAATTACAATCTGTTGCATTTACCGGCATTTTTTAAAAAAAGCTGGGAGATACCTGTACCGGGATTGTAATTAAACTTAGCTGGAAATTCCATCTCACCGGCCCGGATCTTCCATCGGTGGCCGGGCTTTCAGCCTCTCTGCCCCCACCCTCTGGAACTCCATCCCACAGTCCCTTTGCCTTGCTTCCTCCCTTGCCTCCTTCCAGGCCGGTTTCAAGACCCTTCTCTTTGACCGTGTCTTTGGTCTCCCTCCCACCTCACTACCTTCCCTCACCCCTACACCACACCCCCTCCCCTATGCTCGGGCCCCGACACCTGACTGTTCTGTGCTTTGGGACGTCCTCCCGACATGAAAGGCACTCTATAAATGTAATTTTGTTGTTGTTGAATGATCAATTTTATGTAGGGGAGTGTTGGCCAGGACACCAGGAGAAACTCCCTTCTCTTTTTGAATGTTTCACCAATTTGCCTAAGAACATACAATACAAAATTATACTTGTGTAGCGCCATTCATGTCGGGAGGACATCCCAAGTCATCCCACAAGCCCTGGCTTGAGCCCACAACCCTCTGACCCTGTGATTCAGAGTAGATTGTAGTCCAGAGGCTGGCATTCCAGTACACTACTGGGTGAGCCTTAGTGGGGCCTAACTTCACTCACCAAATTAAAAAAAAGATGTGATGCTGTATAGTGTCTTTCCGGACTATTTGATTTGGCACATCAAACAAACCCTTTAGTAAACAATCCCTGGTTCCCTTTAGTGCAGTGCTGTGCACAACAACAAAGTTAATTTATATAGAGCTGGGTTTGCGCTTGAGCTGCAAATTGGAATCAACAGGGGTGGACTGTGCACCTCTCCTACCTTCTAGGAGGTTACAAACTTGGTGTTGGCAGGAGGAACACAGATTACAGTTCTGTCCTTTGGACATTTAAATGCTTCCTGTTTTTTGCCCACAAAAACAGAGTGAAACTTGACTGTTTATATACCAGTTAACAGCAAATAATGGAATTGTCCTCTCAGAATTTTTCTGTATTTCATCAAGGCAACGTCACAATGGGGAACTGTGACATAGAGAAAGTGGTTTCATATCATCACAAAAAATAATCCACCAGCTTTGCCCCTCCCCGCACCCCCCCTCTGAGATTTTTGGAAATATATAT